AAAAAAATTATTCACCATGACCACGTGGGATTCATCCCAGGGATGCAAGGCTGGTACAATATTCGCAAATCAATAAATGTGATACACCACATAAACAAAATGAAAGATAAAAATCACATGATCATATCAATAGATGCTGAAAAAGCATTTGACAAAATCTAGCACCCATTTCTAATAAAAATACTCAGCAATCTGGGAATAAAGGGATCATATCTCGACATAATAGAGGCCATATATGAAAGACCTACAGATAACATCATACTCAATGGGCAAAAACTAAAAATATTTCCTTTAAGAACAGGAACAAGGCAAGGATACCCACTTTCACCACTCTTATTTAACATTGTACTGGAAGTCTTAGTCACAGCAATCAGACAGGAAGAAAAAATAAAAGAGATCCAAATTGGAAAAGAGGAAGTGAAACTGTCATTATTCGCAGATGACATGATACTATATGTAGAAAACTGCAAAGACTCCATCAAAAATCTACTAGACTTAATAAATGAATTTGGCAAAGTAGCAGGATACAAAATTAAAGTCAAGAAATCGATGGCATTCTTATACACCAATAATAAACTCACAGAAAGAGAAACTAAAAAAACAATCCCATTTATCATCGCAGCAAAAAATTAAGATACCTAGGAATAAACTTAACCAAAGACATAAAGGACCTATTCACAGAAAACTACAGGTCATTGAGAAAAGAAATAGAGGAAGATATAAAAAAGTGGAAGCACATACCTTGTTCATGGGTTGGAACAATTAACATCATTAAAATGTCCATACTACTCAAAGCAATCTATAGATTCAATGCAATCCCGATCAAAATACCAATGACATACCTCACAGAACTAGAACAAATAATTCAAAAGTACATATGGAACCAAAATAAGGCCCCAAATAGCCTCACCAATCTTGAAAAAGAAGAACAAACTTGGAGGGATCACATTACCAGATTTCAGGTTATACTACAAAGCCACTGTAATCAAAACAGCCTGGTACTGGCATTAGAACAGGCAGGTAGATCAATAGAACAGAATAGAGAACCCAGAAAGAGACCCAAGACAATATGTTCAATTAATATTTGACATAGAGGGCAAGAGCATATAGTGGAGTAAAGACAGCCTCTTTAATAAATGGTACTGGAAAAATTGGACACCTACATGCAAAAAAATGAAACTAGACTATCAACTTATAACATACACAAGAATAAACTCAAAATGGATAAAAGACTTAAATGTGACTCATGAATCCATAAAAATCCTAGAAGAAAATGTAGGCAACAAAATTTCAGACATCATATGCAGCAGAATTTTTACTGATACATCACCTGAGGCAACAGTAACAAAGGAGAAAATGAATACATGGGACTACATCAAACTCAAAAGCTTCTGCACAAAGATACAATCATCAAAATGGAAAGGCAACCTGCTGTATGGGAGAGCGTAATTGCCAACGATACATCAGATAAGGGGTTAATTTCCAAAATATAAAGAGTGCTCATACAACTCAACAAAAGGAAGACAAAGAACCCAATTATAAAATGGGTAGAGGAACTAAATAGACACCTCTCCAAACAGGACATACAAATGGCTAAGAAACATATGAAGAAATTCTCAACATCATAATCATCAGAGAGATGCAAATTAAAACAACTATGAGGTATCACCTCACACCTGTCAGAATGGCCACCATCAACAAATCATTAAACAACAAGTGTTGGCAAGGGTGTGGAGAAAAGGGGACTCTAGTACACTGCTGGTGGGAATGCAGACTGGTGCAGCCACTATGGAAAACAATATTGTGTTACCTCAAAAAATTAAAAATTGAACTTCCATTTGACCCAGTGATCCCAGTTCTAGGAATATACCCTAAGAAGCCTGAAAAACCAATCAGAAAGAATATATGTACCCCCATGTTCATAGCAGCACTATTTACAATAGCTAAGATATGGAAACAGCTCAAGTGTCCATCAGTAGACGAATGGATAAAAAAGCGGTAGTACATATACACAATGGAGTACTATGCAGCTGTAAAAAAGAAAGCTCTCTTATCCTTTGAGATGACATGGAGGGACCTGGAAAGTATTATGCTAAGTGAAACAAGACAAATAGAGAAAGACTATTATCATATGATCTCACTTATTTGTGGAATATAATGAACATAATAGTCTGAGGAATGGGGTAGTCCCAAAGACATGGTAGTGGGGTACAGACTGACAATCCCCAGATGAGGGGGTGGGGGTAGAGATAAACCACAGAACTTATATGCATGTATGCATGAACAATGGACATGGACAATAAAGTTTGGGACAAGGTGGGGAAGGAGAGGGGGGTTGGAATCAGTGGGGGAAAAAGGAGAAACATCTGTGAGAAAAACAAATAAATTAATTAAATATAAATAAATAAATTATAACTAAAAAGAAAAAAATAAAATAAAAAATAAATAAAAGAGAAACTGTTCAATTGCCTTCTGCACATCCCCCACTGGGGATTGAGCCCACAACCTGGGCAGGTACCCTGAACGGGAATCAAACCCAGACCTCTCAGTCTATGGGAGGATGCTCAGTCCACTGAGCCACACCCACTAGGCTGTCTTGTGCTTTATTTCATCTCCTGATGTTTTGTACAGTAAGGTTTTATGGTCATGTATGTTTGAAGTTTTAAGGTTCAGGATTTCACAGGTTAGGGCTGTGTGATAGGGTTTTCGGGGTTAGATGAGGTTTGGGGGTTAGGGTCTTGGGTCCCTGTCTGGAGTCCTGTGTACAGTGTGAGGGTCCAGGGTCTGTGGTTCAGCTCCTGTGTCTGGCATCTGGTAACTGGTGTTCAGTGTCCAGCACCCACTTAGGGATCTTTGTTTCTAATGACACAAGAGAGTTCCAACTTCATTGTCCGTGGTTCTGGTGGAACTGTATTTGACTCTTTGCTGTCCAGATTCTGGTCGGGTGTGGCTGGTTTTCTGGATTCCTGTGGGGTCCATGTGCAGATACATCACTAGGGTCTGATGTAAGGTGTCCTGTGTCAGTCAGTCTCTGGCACCTGGTGTGTGGCAGTCATGGTGCAGAGTCTGGCTTTGGGTCTGAGGTTTAGTTTTTTATTTGAGTCTTGTGTGTGGACCGGGGTCTGTGTCTGGGGGGTGGGTCACAAGTCTGGCTATGGTGTCTGGTGTCTGTTAACTGATGATCATTCTTTTCAACTGAACACCAACTGGAGTCCTGAAGGTGGGGTGTGGTAAAGAAGGCAAGTAGCTCATTGTGATGCAGCACGGCTGTGATACAGCGTGGCTGTGAGAAGCTCAGTGTTGTTGCAGGGGAACCATGAAGCTGCACTGCTGTGAAAACAGCTCAGTATTGCTTCTTGCTCGTTCTGAAGCATCATGGCTGTGAGGAGGCCCAGGGGTGAGGCTGCCCTGGGAGAATTCCCTTTCGGGCTACGCAACTCAGGTCTGCTCTACTCTAGTCCATGTGGTCTGGTCTGGTCCTGTCATTTCTTCTTTTGACAGTCTAGATGTTTTTATCGCTCAGTTCATTTTGGGGGAAGTTTGCAGGTCACTCCCTGAATTGTGGTTTGTATGAGAAGGCCCTGTGTAGAAATGGATATGAGTCCCAGTGCTTTAAAATTAGAGTCCAGTTATCCACCAGGAGCCCTTCCTAGTAGGTGTCTCTTTTCTTAGCACCCACATATCTGTTGTCTACCATGTGAGTCGCACAGCGAGGCCTGGGGTGAGGGATGAGGAGAGAGCTGGAGGTGGACTTTCTATGCTGGCTCCAACCAGCTATTGAGGAGAAGAGGGGTATCTGGAAAAGAATGTAGAAGATGTGGGGGCAAAATTTCCATTCTGGCTTGAGTTCTGTACTCGAGGGGTAGAGCGGGTGTTTGGCTAAGGGGCAAGGAGAGAAGTGGGGGTGATTCTGCAGTCCAGCTTCGTGCAGAGTGGGGGAGGCAGAGGGGCTGTTAGGATAAGGGGCCCGGAGAGATCTGGAGGTGAATTATTTACCTCCTCCCCACACAGCTTTTGAAGGGGTTGTGGGTAAACAAGCAGGAGAGACCTCCTTGCCTCAGCCAGGGTGTGAAGAGCACAGAGGTTTTGGGGGTAATTGGGGAGGAAACACCTTGAGCAGAGTTCTGCACCCCTAGTGTTGCCAGCTTGTGTGGTTGAAGCAGTTGCCTGGCAAAAGGAAAAAAGTCCAGAGCTGAATGTTCTATCCCTGCTTGGGCAGGATGTGATGGGCAAGAGGGTACGTAGATCTGAGGAAAAGGCACGAGGGCGTGAGGGGCCAGTGGATACACTGAGGGGAATGGTAAATCCTGACTCCAGCCCAGCCCCTAATGGGCCTCTGGAGAACAGGTGAGGGGTGACCCGGAGCCATTTTTTTCTTTCTGGCTCCACCAAGTAGGTGATGGGCAGAGGGTGTCTTGAGGTACAGGGCGAGGAGTGGCCTGGGCATGATTTCCCCTGGGGTAAGGAACAAGTTCCAGCAGGTGTTGGAGAATCAGAGGGATGCCCGGGGTCCGGGGTGCACTGCAGCCAGCCGGAGTTCAGTGGCACTTTCTCCAGGTCATGTTCAAGTCAACACTCCCCAGGACCAGTTTCCTGGGGAGAGTCCTTGGGGTTTGGTGGGACCACTTTTTGTGATCACCTCCCCAGTCAGGCTTCAGGACCGCACTACTTCCCAATAGACAACGTAATGGAACAGAGTAGATGGTGCAGCAATAGACCCAAATCCATAGGTGAATTTTGTATGATAAAGATGTCTTCTCAGATCATTAGAGAAAATGCGCATTATGTAATAGATGTCGTTGGGACGCGAGGCAAGCAGCAGGTCACAGATCAAAGTCCAGGGGGCGCTCTTTCCTGAGTGGAGAGGCGGGGCCAGGTGGGCGCAGAGGGGCGGACTCGGTACTGAAGGCTAGAGCTGGGAACTGCCATGAGAGGCAGGTGACCTTGCGGGGAGCGGAGGTGTGGACATGAGGACAGGAAGGTGGCCCCCTTGAGTCTAGATGCGTGTTTTGGTTATGAGGAAGGTGGCTGACAGACATGAGGTGAGTAGTGGCCTGGCGGTGGGATGGCCTGATCCTGAGGTGCGAGGGGAGCAGTGGGAGGACCTGAGGTGAGAGTCGGATCCTGTGTGAGGTTAGAAGTGGGTGTGAGGTGTGAGGTGTGAGGTGTGAGGTGTGAGGTGTGAGGTGTGAGGGGAGCAGTGGGAGGACCTGAGGTGAGAGTCGGATCCTGTGTGAGGTTAGAGGTGGGTGTGAGGTGTGAGGTGTGAGGGGAGCAGTGGGAGGACCTGAGGTGAGAGTCCTGACACACAGGAAGGTTGTGGGTTTGATCCCGGGTCCAGGTTCTTTTGGGGAAGCAACCCATGGGTGTGTCCCAGTCATATAGATGTTTCTGTCTCTCCCTTCTCTGTCACTAAAATCAGTGAAGATTAAAGGGGAAAAATATATAGATGGGCTAAGCTTGGAAAGAACAGGAAGAAAAGTAATGTGAGCTGCTAGAAAAAATTTTTTTTCCTTACTCATAATTATATTAACGATTAGATAAAATAGTAACAAAATTCTTAGCATTGAAATGAGGCCAGGGTCCAGATGCTTGGTATTCTAGGAATCAGATTATTTAAATGAAACTGTGTCCTCTGTAGGTAACCTGAGAAACTCACGATATGTCAAATGTTACAATTTCAAAAACAGAAACTTTAAATGGTGAATTTTGGCAACTGAAAGACCAAGATGATTGATTTTTAGCTACATTATAGAACAGTTTTTAAAGAGTGATTTATGAGCCATGGAAAGAAAAGGAATCATTTTCGGATGCCTACAGTGGTCCATCACGTGATTCAGTGTTCTAGGGTGTTAGATACTCTTTGCAGGGAGCCCCCAAGTGTCCTCTCTGATCCACCTGGCGCTTGTGCCTTCAGCCTGTGATGTTGGCATCCAGTGAATGCCCAGGACAGCTTAGCCTTGTCAGGAAGCCTGCCAGAGATAGTTCTCAATGTTTCAGGAAGAAGCATTTTCTTAGCTGTTCAATTCACCTCAGCAGACACCCAGGACTTGTTGCCATGAGCCTCAGAGGAGTCAGCACAAACCAAAACGAAAACATGAGGCAGAAAGAGTGTCAGTCTACAGATGACCAGCAGAGGGAGGGCTTGATGTGTAAAAAAAATTATATATGTATGTATGTATGTGTGTGTGTGTGTGTGTGTGTGCGCGTGCGCACGTGTGTGTATGTATATATAATTTTTTATAGTTTATTGTGTTCGGTAATATGGTGAGGGTTTAGGTGAGGATTAGGGTTACTGAACATAGGTTTATTTATGTTTTGCTTTACATTATAGAGGAGTTACAGATATTTGGGTGTATTAGTGAATACGTCTATTTGTGGAAAGAAATTTTTTAGTAAATTGCCCAATCTTAAGAATAATGGTGTCACGAATAATTCACAATTCACAGATCAAAAATCTGCCCCCTTGCTGATGGTTTTCAAAGTATTGATTTTAAGCTGTTTATCAAAGACCAAGACTCAGAGAGAACCTTGGGCCGCTGTCCCCGTCCTGCCAATCCCCTGAATGAAGTGCTCTTCTGTGTCAAGTCTACATTTTAGGAAATAGCACCTATGTACTAAGCATCTGCTCATAACATTTTGCAAAAAATTGTTGAAGGCCTCAAGGCATCTTGTATTCTGCCTAGTTCAGAATGTCTTGTATACCCATATTTTTTTTCTATCTGTAAATCTGTCCTGCGTATGGGGTCTGTAAGTTTCATGTATGGGAGGTTCCTATACACATGCATGTGTAAAATTTGTTTATTTTCTGTTGCTAATCTGTGTCATTAATATTTGATTAGTGAACAAGTAAAGAACTTTCAGTTCAGAGAGAAGTTTCTCCTCTACATAAGCTAGTAATCAGATATTTAATAAAGTGTACATCTTGGAAGTACATCTATTTCACCCTTAGAAATTTAACAATGTATCTATAGAAACAGTTTTTAGATTGAGAGATTTTATTAGTGAAATTTGGGAAAGTCTCCTAATTTAGCTTCTGGGTGTAAAACGTATTTTACAGATCAAGTACTATGAGCAAGATTTTTTTTCGTGAATCAAGAGGTGTGGTGGACATTCATTAGGTGAGCATTTCCTGTGAGACCACTTTTTATGAGTACACGCTCCAGGCTTATACCAGAATTCCAGGTCCACTTCTTCCCTTGTGAGCTCACCTGAGCACTGAGAGGTCCAACCTCTGTCTCTTTGCAGGCTAAACCCAGACCTAGCTTAGGCCCTTCAGCAATGACTGTCCTAAGCCATAAAATAGGAAATTTTTACAAGTGACACAATGAAGACGCTCAGAGCTTAGTTTCGTGTTGTAAAGAATATACCTTGTAAATGTTAGAAGATGGTCAGATACATTTCAGAGAACCAAAGCCTATAGGTTCCCTTTATCCAAACTCCTGCAATGTCACATGAAGTAGGGCCATAAAATAGGCAGCCGATCGCATCCATGTTTCTCTCTCGTCAATGTTTCTATCTCTCTCCCTTGCCCTTTCTCTCCCTGAAGTCAATAAAAATATTGCAAAAAAGTGCGAAGTAGAAAAGCAGCCACTTTGAGGTAAACAATTAGAAACAGTTTTTGTTCTCATTAGACTGACAAGAAACCAGGCTAGGAGAGGAAAGAGAAGCTTCTGGTGTTGTCACTGCAGCAGTGCAGCTTATTATTTTAAAATTATGCCATGTGTTTCTCTAGTACTTTTTCCCTAAAATGTAAATGGGTTTGTTTTTTGCAGTTGACTTAATACAGAAAAAGAAAATGTATTCAAAATTCTACTCCAAGAGGTAAAATAACTGCTTTAATTTTAAGAATATACCTTTCCAGATATCTGTACATGCACATTTTCTTTCTTCTACTTATTTTAGATTTCATGTACTATTTTAGGCTATTACTATTAATACAAAGTCTTTTTAATTTTTCCCTTTTCTAATAGGTGCATTTAAGGGTGCACATGTTTTCATAAGTTTTAGAACATTGTATAATTTTATTGATATTTAGTGAGAGAAGGGAGAGGGAGCGAGAGATAGAAACATCCATTGGCTGTCTTATGCACACCCCTAAAAATGTTCAAGCCTGAAAACTGGGCATGTGAATTGACCATTGACCTCTTGATGCATGGGTCAATGCTTGACCAGTGATTCACACCTGCTGGGTGATATGTAGTACTGTTAATCAGCATTAAGTTCAAATTACTTTCTAGCTCTAATGGTGGTTTATTTTTGTTGTTATTTAAAAGTGTATTTTATAACTTTTAAATATAAGGAGTTTCACCCAGATTGGTTTGGATCAGTGGTTGGAGTATCGGAATGCAGACCAGGTGTACCAGGTTCAATTCCGGCCAAGGACAGGTACCTCGGTTACAGTTCGTACCCGACCCTGTTAGGGGTCGTACAGGTGGCAACCAGTTATGTGTCATCTCTCACATCAATGGTTCTCTCTCTCTCTCTCTCTCTCTCTCTCCTTCTCCTCCTCTTCCTCCTCCTCCTCCCTCTCTTCCTCCTGCTCTATCTGAGATAAATGGAAAAATATCCTGGGAAGAGGATTAAAAAATGATAATAATAAAAATTTTCCTAGTTACTTTTTTAATTTTTAAATTAATTTATTTTTGTTACAGATGTTTCTCTTTTCCCCCATTGACATCCTCCTCCTGACTCCACCCCCCCCGCCTAGTCTCCAGCATTGTTGTCTGTGTCCATGGTTACACATATGTGCATATAAGTTTTGTGGTTTATTTCTTCCCTCCTCCCCATCCCCTGTTCTGAGGTTTGTCAGTCTGAACCCAACTTCTATGTCTCTGGGTCTAGTTTGTTCATCAGCTTGTTTTATTACATTCTACAAATAAGTGAGATCATATGATATTTATTTTTCTCTGTTTGGCTTGTTTTGCTTAGGATGATACTCTCCAGGTCCCTCCATGTTATCAGGATAATACTCTCTGGGTTTCTCCATGTCATCACAACGGGTTAGAGATTTTTCTTTCTTACAGCGACATAGTATTTCATCTAGTTACTTTTTAAACATTTTGTGGGATTTTAAAATCCTCACCTGAGGACATTTTTTCATTCATCTTGAAAAGAGTGGGGGGTGGGGGGGGAGAGAGAGAGAGAGAGAGAGAGAGAGAGAAACATCAATGTGAGAGAGAAACATCAATGTGAGAGAGACAAATTGATTGGCTCCCTCCTGCATGACCCTGACCAGGGCCAAGGACAAAACTACAACCCAGGTGTGTGCCTTGACTGGAATAGAACCCGCAACTCTTCAGTCTGCCACATGTGACGCTCTAACCACTGAGCAAAACCAGCCAGAGCACATCTAGTTACTTTTTACTCATTGTTTGTAGGTTAATTGCAATGACAAGAACCATACTTGATATAATTTTAATCCTTTGTATTTGGTTGAAACTTGCTTTTTATTTACTCATTTTTAAACAGCTTTAATGTTGAATGTATTATAGATCTCCTTCTTTTTTCCCCCTTGACCCATTCCTCCCCACTCCCACCTCCCTCCTGCTTTTCCCACATTATTGTCTGTGGCTACTGGTTATGCACATATGCATATCAGTTATTGGTTTCTCTCTTCCGGCCCCACCTCGCCCCTTTCCCTTAAGGTTCATCAGTCTAACAACCACTTTGTATTTTTACTACCTTCATCTTTTTCACCCAACCCCTCTCCCATCTGGCAAGCAACAGAAAGTTCTCTGTATCTATGAGTCTGTTTTTGTTCTGTTTGGGTTCATCTTGATTGGGACTCTATGCTTCCAGGACTTGTATGTCTGCTTACTTCACTAAGTTAGGAAAGTTTTCTGTCATTTTTTCAAAGATGTTTTCACTTTCTTGCCCTCTCTATTCTCCTCCTGGCAGTCATATGATGCGAATGTTGGTATGCTTGAAGTTGTCCCTCAGGATACTAATACTATCCTCAGTTTTTGGATATTTTTTATTTTTACTGTTCTAATTGGATGATTTTTGTTTCCTTCTATTCCAAATAGATGGTTTATTTATTGGCTTCACCTGCTATACTATTGATTCCATGAAAATAATTCTTCCAGTTAGTACGTCCTTGATTTCTGA